AATTGACGACCTTGGTCTTTTAATCTGTGGAGATTACCTATGTGCAAGTACATTCACTAAGAGATGTTAATCACTGGATTTTTGGAGTGTCGTAATGAAACGCTTGTAAGTTCTAAAGTAAAAGTCGTCTAGAACTGCGCAATGTCTCATGCCCAAGCAAAAACGACCCAATTTTTTGGGTTATTTATCTAGATTCAGGTCCACGTACATCTAGATGCACGTGGAGCTGAATCTAGATAAATAACCCAAAAAATTGGGTCGTTTTTGCTTGGGTGTTGACGTGAAGAGTTTACTTATCAAATCTGCGCATTCTAAACCGTAGTTGATTTAAGCTTTTTATTTAAAGAAATCCATAAGAACAAGAAAAGAAATTCAATCAAGTGAAATCGTTGTCCTAAGGACTACATTGTATCTGCTGTAGTTAATAATGTATTTCTCTAATATAGCAGTATTTTAAAAATACTGTTTTTTACGACTTCAAGAAAACCTTTAAAAACCATCAATAGCATAAAACGAATATGAATTCATAAATAAGATACAATTGACTATTCTACCATATGCATATCTCCAGATTGCCCTTTTGATTGCCCCTTTTGCTTATATATTCAAATCTACTGAGTGTATCTGAATTATTATTTTTTCATTCTGTTCCTCTAATCTAGGACTACTACCATGTGAAAAATCGGGGTTCTGTTTCGCACAGTCACCAAATTATGGTTCTGTCAACTTTGTGCGGTTACGATGTTTCTAGCTCTATCTGCCAGATTTTTTAGAAGTCGGTCCCCTGCTCCAAGACTACGTAATATAAATTTGTTTCGAATAGTTAAAGTTGTTGATTAGATTCTCGCCTACAATGTGGTATATGAATGAATTTGTGATTTCATGTTTCATGTGAAGAGAAAAAAGTAAATACTGCGTTGGATCAATGAATTTTAGTCTACAGGATGGAATAAAATCTATATATAACATTTTCTCAGTCAATGATATTTTTTTTCTTTATGTTTTCCTATGTATTCTACATTTGATTTCCTCTAACAGGTGGTCCATAATAAATACGTCAACTAGTATTTTGTTCATATCTTAATTAGATTTTATTTCCTGAGCTTTATTGTATTTTTAAAAGATGCGCCATGAAAATCTCTACAAAAGCTGGATTTTTGGATTATCCGGACAAAATTCAGTCTTTTACTTCCTCGCAGTGTCAGATGGACAACGCCAATTGGCGGCCAAAAGAGGCTCTGCTGAGCGCTTACAGGACTAGTCATCCGAAGCGTGTTAAACAAATAAAACGCCACTCTTAAACCGTCAGATCATGCAACTTGACGGTTGAAGCGTCGGATTTCTCTCATCGAATGCTTTAAAATGAATAATTCTTTCTTTTTTATTTAATGTTTCATCATTAACTTCATAGAAGCACAGATTGGAACTAAAATTTGATTTTTCAATCAAAATGCATAGAAACTTAGCAATAGAAATAATGTGTTGCATTGCCCAAGGAAGTTGTTAATTACAAACTAAATATTAAATTAGCTTTTTTCGAAAAGTTCAAAGAAATCAGATTCAAACCAGAAGAATCTATTACCTTAATCGTCAAATAGGGATGATCGTTTTGCGCATTTTGTAACTCTCGGATTAGTTCGTGGCATCCTAGAAAGAATAGTAACCTGTCGAATCGCCAATTTTTAGAGCACATATCCCAAAGAACAACGTGAGGAATGTCACACATAAAATGTGAGGAAACCGCTGGTTCTTTTATAATGAGTTCAGACATGATTTTACAGAGTGTCACACAGATATTTTTGCAGGTCCCGATTGACAAACAAATCAGAGTATAAAGTTCTGTATTTTTATTACAACAAGGTTAACGTTGTGACTATAACTTTTATAAAGAAAACAAAAGAACAAGAAAAAAATAAACAAATATTACAGGAAAAACATCAATAACTGGATAAGTATTTAAGTAAGAATTTTAGATTAAATAGAGATTCTAATTAGAAACACTTTCTCGTTCCCATTTTTTTCAAGAAATTCGTCGTTTTTGAGATAAATACATTATTATGGAAAAGAGGGCATCGCTGTGAAATGTAAAATGTATTTATTTCAAAAACAACGGATTTCTTCAAAAAATCGAGAATCTTCCTTCAGCCATTCTTTAGCAAAGTGTGCGTTTTCAAACTCAAACCCTGCTCATTGGTTATTTCATTTCCCAATACAAAATCATACAGAGGTTCGAAACGTTCCAACCTGACGTTTTTGTAAAACATCATGTTGGAAAAAGTGTCAGGTTAAAGTGTCGGATTAGAACGGATACAGCATCAGGCTTAAAAAAAGCATCAGGTTTTGACGTTTAAACCGTCAGGTTAGCACGGTTTAAACGTGCGATTTTTTTACAGTATGGCAACTTTTTTAGTTTCGAGCTCAATCACATTTATGAAAAATTTCACATTTTGAACAGGCGTTATTTATACTTTCGTTCGATTTTCATTTCGTTTGTACGCAAAAGTGTGCTGTTAAAACTGAGACAGAATTTTCTATTATAACTACTAAATAAACTTAAGTATAAGCATACTAAGACTAACATACTAATCTTTTATTTCATATATTTAATTAATTCTTTTTAACACAAAAAACTAACCAAGGTTTATAACAACAAAACGAGTATATAAAAAGAGTCAAAAAAACAGATTGTTATTATTCTTGTTTTGCACTGCATAATTTTATACATTTTTTTGTACATAATGGTGTTAATGAATGTGCTAATGATATCCTATCAATTAATCTTCGACCACTATTTTTACCTTGATTTACATCAATTGAAAATATTTTATAATGTGCTAATGGTGATGCATTTTCTAATACAGTTATACGAAATTTCTTTTTATCAAATACTAAAGGCTGATTAATGTTGCATTGGGTAACTTACTTAATAATATCAATACCCTGATTTTCAACAATATATTGTTCAAAATTAATTTTACAGGGCGAGTATCATTTGTAAAAATGCAACAGTAGGCGAACGGCTTTTTGTACTTCAATTTCAGCAAACTTTTCTTTTCTCCGTTCTCGCCGGTGTTGGAGAAGCTCTATCATCCTCAACTCTAATTTCTACTGGCGAGAACAGACGAAGAACCGTTTGCTGAAATTGAAGTACAACAAGCCGCTCGCTTATTGTTTCATTTCTACCAATGATACTCGTCCTGTAAAATTAATTTTGAAAAATAAAGCCAAATAATAATATCACAAGCCACATCAAACAATAATGGCATCATTGGATATCTAATATAAACAAAATAATACTTACGTCTGTATCTTTCTCAGCGATTTTAGTTTGTTTAGAAATATCTGACAATGAATTTGTGTATTAATAAAATTGAACAAAAACAATTTCTTCATTTAAACGGCAAAAAATTAACGAAAGAATACATGTTCTTGTTATCGTGATAAATACAGGATGGATATTACAGTACTGGAATCACTAAAAGCAAAACAAATAATAGTGGTAAAGTAGTTTTAATTTCACATAGAGATGATTGACCACTTACTTTTCTGTTCGATGATGTTATTGGGTAGTGGAGGTGCGTAACGCGCACCACAGGATAGTGAACGAATCCTGCCCCCACAGTTCCAGGCCCATTCTGACCCGGAATGGTAGTACCTGAAAAGGGTCCCTTGCCTGGGGTTACAGGTGG